TTCCTGGTCACGATGGACTCTCTCTCTAGACTTTACGGACTTGCGCGAAGTCATCTACTAGCGTTTCTTATTTAATCCAAGCTTCCCCAGTCCGGGGACTTTGCTAGCTTTCCTTTACTCTGACAGAACAGATTACAAACTTTATCATGTTTCCTATTTGATAAAAACCTACACACAAATACACACATACATAAATACAAACATACACATTATACACACTACACCTGTTTCTCTCTGTGAACTGGAGATAAAAAAAATTAAAATTAAAATTAAAAAAAAGAAGAAAAAAAAGAAGAACGAACAAATGTGAAACTAACATTAAACGATGACTTTCCTTCCACGTTATTTTTCTCCTCTTTGATCGTAACTTTAGAAACGAGTTTGTATCCTCGCAATGATATTACTCGTATAGAAGAAAGAGAGAGAGAGAGAGAGAGAGAGAGTTTCTTCTATCTTTTGGTATAATCATTGTCAAAAGAAATAAAGAAAGAAAGAGATAGGGAAATATTGATATGAGTAGAAGAGAGTATCCTGATAAAATGGGATCGGTGGTCACAGAATGATGATCGCATATCCTTTTCCACTGGTGCTTTGCTTAGAAAGAAACGACGGTGCTTAGGGTAAAGGATGAGAGAAAAATAAAGATAGAATGAGAGAATGAAAAAGAGAAAGATAGAGAGAGAGAGAGAGAATGGTAATGGTTGTGGTAGTGGTTGTGATGGTGGTGGTGTGGTACGGGCTTTGAGCTTACCGCGGCTTTGTGAACGGTGTCCCTTATGGGTTCCACGTCTGCGTTTAATATCGACAAAGTGCTTGGGCAAAAACCGACTGAATTATTAATTATCTATTGCGTTGCCAGCGTACGTAACGTTTTGAATCTCCTGATGGTGGTGGTGGTTGGTGGTCGTTGTGGTCATTCATTGACCATTTTTAAATCATTTTACTAAACGTGTTTCAACGATCATTATTTACTTTTGTTCATCGAACTTCTTCATTTTTCAATTCCATATATCTGTGTTCGTTGTTTTAATAAAATTTTCTTTTTTTTTTTTTTAACTTTTCGAACGTAATCTCGTCATCGACAAAAATATTTTCTTACACAATCGAGATGTTATATTTATATTTTCTAATAAATAAAAATAATAACGAGAAATAATTGTCGTGACGAGATAGATCATAAACGATAAGGAAAATAAATATAAAACATATTCTGCTTACGTAGACTAATGTTGGAAAAAGGGGCGCGCAAGTGTTTCAATGATTGAAAAGTGAAAGAAGAAGAAGAAGAAAAAGAAAAGAACTTGAACGTATATCATGGAACTCTTTGATCTTTCCAAATGTTTTGAAATATATCGTCACAAGTAAAAACGTATCATCCTACTCTTCATTTCCTAAATGGATCATGTCCTCCATTCCGTTCAAAACAATTTGAATAAATAAAAAAATGTACAAATGTTTATAAAACAACGAAAATTTTAAATACATCGAAATATTTCTAATATCTTAATTTCTTCGTACAAAATTCTATTACACGTACATACATACGTAAATACATACGAGTGTATGGATGAAGATACTTTTTGTTCGTGAAGCCTTGAACTCGGAAAGCTCAATAAAAGTAAACTTTTTCCATTAGTTTCGGTTTTTATCGTTTCAATGCTATTTATCCTGACCAACCCAGCAGACCACATCGTATTCGTTCATATATATGTATATGTACGTGTATATGTATTATATTATATTATATACATGTACTCAAGCATAACATCGAACGAACCTCGGCTCGAGAAAGAAAAGCTATTCATTTTTCACTAGCGTATAAATGCGAGTTATTAATATACTGGTATTATGAAGTAGAGGGGTCGGTAATTAGCGGTAGGTTCATCAGTCACTCGTCCCGTATCCTTACCGATCATGGACCAAGAGAGGAAGAAATCGGCAAGGAAGATAAAAGGTCCAAAGGAAAAGGATCGACCTACGTCCTCCCCTGTCCATCTTCCAACGCGAGACACATTAAAACAGCTAATAGACTATGCCTTTTTATGAAAAACACCGAGATGAGATATACCCCACCTTGTAACAAAATTTCTTTTACGATTAACGACCTTAATCTTTTTACTGTCGATGATTTACTCTTTTTCCTATTCTTTTTTTTTTTTTGTATTTTCTTTTTAAAACAATGTTTTGATCATTGATCGAATAAAGAACGAATTAAAAAATAATTATTATTATTTATAAACATCCTTCTCTTTTTCTTTTTTTTTTCTAAGTTATACGAAATTTTTTGGTGTGATAAAATATTTATTTAGAATAATAAGAAAATAATAGAAATTGTTTGGATTGGAATATTAATTTATATTTTCTTGTGATAGTATTAATCTTATTATGTATTTTAATAATCACAAAAATATTAATTAAATAATACAAAATATATGTAGATATTTATTATATTAAAAAGAAACATTTAATCAATTATTCATATATCCATATTTCATAAAACACAATACTTTATTAGGAAGCTTTAATCGTGTGTTAAAGGGTAACATTATCTGTCCTACTATTCCAATTTTCCTTACCAAAATCAAGGTCAATTAAAATGTAATAATTAATAAATATTATTAACGATAAAAAATATAAAATAAACGCGAGTATGAAATCGAAGAAAAGTAGCCATGGGAATAGATTGACAAGGTAAAAGAGGGAGAAAGGCGTGCACGCAGGTCGTAGAAAAGACACAGGAAGTGCGTGGAACTGTGATTGGCTGTCCAGAGTTGGTTGCCACTAGCTGGGTGACCTCTGACCCCACCCCCGTGGGGCGCGCGCACGTCTCCAACCCTGAAGGAAGTAATTACTGTACCCACCACCGCTCGATAACTGACACGCTATCATCTACAGTGCGCCACCGTACCTTAATACACCTTCCTTCCACGTACTATACTCTTCCCCCTCTTCCTTTTCACCTTTGCACGTGCGCTATATATATGTACCTTTCTATTTCCTTTGTAAACACCCTTTTGACGTATCTCTAATTACTTACTTACTTATTTGACTTACATATGCTTCTACAAATCTTTTATTTTTTATTTTATTATATTTTTCTTTTTATAAAAAATATTAATTAAATATATATATAATTTATTTATTTATATATGTAATATTTGTATATAAGTAACAACCATATATTTGATCATATTTTCAAATTTATCCCTATTAGAATTTTTATAATATGAAAAAATACGAAAATGTTGATCATCATTGTCTTCGATTTGTTTAATTCAATATTTCGTTTGATTATTTATTTATTTGTAAAAAGTATAATATATAGAAAAGGAGGTATGTTCTACTTCGAACTTTGATGGGGGTGGTTTCTTTCTGATAACCCGTAAGGAGTATCGCGCAGCAGAAGGTCATCCCAAGAAGTATTCTCATTGGCAGCCCGTTTCCTAGCAAGCATCGGGATTGGTCGAAGGTCGTGGGTCGCCTCACCTATCTCAATCCAACGTGACCTCCCACGCGACCCCGCGAGATAATCGCTACGCTTCTCCACCACCACCACCACAACCACCACCAGCAAAACCACCCTCCTACAGAAAACCAACCCTACGTGTAATACGCTAGCAACAACGTGGGTAACGCACACTACGAATATTTTCCTATATTTCCTACATCCAATTGGAGAGATTAATTTGTTTTTTTTTTTCAATTATTATATTTCTTAGAATTTTTACCGAACGGAATTATTTCAATAATAAATATTATCTCTTTTTATATGGTCTTTTTCTTATTATATAGAAAATTCTTGAATGGAGATGACTTTTTAAAAACATTACGAAACAATACGCGTTTGAAATTTTATTACGAATATAATTGATCCATTTTTTGTTTAAGCTAATTAATTATTTGAATATTTATAATAAATTAACGCATAATATAATTCTTATATTTTATTGGGTAATATATTTTTATATTTCGAGACAAATTAATATTTTTTTATTCGATGATTGTTCTGACACCTTGAGTCACGTTAAAAATAGTACACGTGATACTTCATTAATTTTACAATTACATCGACGAATATAGTACTATATTTCTTTTCAATTAGATAAATTTGTTCGAATTATTTAAAAAATAAAAAAAAACACACACACAAATGGCTTCAATTCTAGAAAAAAGAAAACATTAATTATCCTACCGCAATTATTTTAATATCACGTCCCGTTAAAAATTATATTCCAAGCTGATTGACTGATCACCCTTTAGAAGAGATTCTTTATTTTTGGGGGTTGTCGTGACAGAAAGAAGCCAGTACTAAAAAGAGCACACAAACCTCATCGATCAAGTGTGTGACAAGCAGCAAAGCGTGCCGATTAACGTCCAATGGGGGGGAAGCTGCTTCTTTCTTCTTTTTTTTTTCTTTTCTTTTTTCTACCACAGTTCTTTATTATTAGACAAGGATGCATCGTTGTGCTCGACTCGCAATAGAGGGTGAAAACGTCCAAGCTAAAAGATCCGATCTGAATTTAGCCCAAGATCATGATCAGACCTTTCTAGCCCGAAGGGGTGGTTGTTTCCTATCTACGATATTGACTTGTTTTTTTTTTTCTTTCTTGACAGTCACTATCCCAAATATATATTCGCACGTTTTATAACACATGACTCACGCCTGAATTAATAAAAAAAAAAAAGAAATTTTAATTATATATTCAAAACACACTGACGGATAAACAAAAGTATCCTCTTGTTTTATCTAATTATTAAAAATATATGAAACTTGCTGGACAATCTAAATTGTTTACATTCACTTAAAAATGACTATAATTAGAAATAAGGGGCGGTTTTTTTGTTGTTGAGGATTAATAAAATCTGCATCTATCTCGGTTGCTTTAAGAACCATCATTTTTCTTTCTATAGCTAATATCTTGTTTCTCTTTTCAATTAAATTAATAATTCCAAACATTTAATTGGGAGTTTACATTAGGTTTATAGAAATGATAGAATTCAAAATAGAGAATTTGATTTATTTGTATGAAAAGGGAACGTTGTAATCAGAAACGACAAGTATCATAACATCCACGTAACATTAAGCGCGCGGTCCGTTATTGTATGGTGTTGTAGTAAAAGTAACTAAGAGACATAATATAATTACCGTAATGCAATTAGTCGAGACGCGTGATGGTCTGCTTTTTGTCTGTAGAAAACGGCTGTGTGTTCTCTTACGAGAGAGATTAGATCAAGAAACAAGTAACCTAACCATATAATCAGTAGTAGCATCTGTGTGCTAACTTTAATCTAGATTATTACATTGACTAGCTTATATTTTTTATGTATATTTTCTTTTTAGAAAATATAAAAATGGATTAATATTAACAACAAGGAATAACAATCGATGATCGGTAGGATTAAAACGAATATATTTATCGATAAAATATCTGTCTAAAAAGAAAATATATACAATTTTGTAAATGGTAATCCTTATACAATGATTAAAATCAAATTAAAAATTGTATATTAATGGAAACGTAATTTACAACAAGAAGAAAAAATAAAATTGTATAATCCTTCCCTTGGAAATTCCTTTAAAATCACTCGTTTCCGTATAGTTAATGATAAAAAATAAAATAAAATATAAAATTTATCTGTATAATAGTTGAATAAATAATAATATTAATAATAAAATAATAATAATACAGTTTATAAAACTATGTCCGTCAAAAAATATATATATGTGTGTGTGTGTATTTCCTCTCTTTTCTTACTTCAAGTTTTTAATTCGTCGCGTGTACTTTCATAACGTTCTTCGATAAAACGAAATAGAGAATTGATGCAAGCGGATGATGACAACTCGTGAACTTTGTGACCTAAATAAATGAAAAAGTATTTATCAGTATATGTATGCGTAATTGTGTATTATTAATGTATTATTCCGTTTTGTCAAACATTCAAACAAAACTCTCCTCACCAGCAGATACTCGCTGTATATCTTCACTCGGATACTCCATGGGAGCATCTAAAGGCTTATCTGAACATATCCAATTCCTTGAGACCTATAATTACAAAAATCAATACTCAATCTTTAGACAAAAAAAGAAACCAAGAAAATTATATTTAAATTTAAAATAGAAAACCTACTTCGGTTCTTGATGACCTAAAATTACAAAAATCAAAACGGAAATCTCTCTCGAAGAAAAAGAAATTAAATTTAATTAAATCTTAAACTGAACGTACCTAGTTTCGGGGAGTTTAACAAAAACTCGCAAAACAAAATCTTAAAAGGGTAGAAAAAAAAATAAAATACAATTTTATCCGAAGGTAATCTAATTTCTGGAGGACCTAGAATTACAAAAATCAGAACAAAATCTTAAAAAAAAAAATAATAAATAAATAAAAAATCATATTACAATTATACAAGAATTAAAATAAAATCTAAACACGTTACCTACCAGAAGCGTATTAATTAACTTGTTGCTGTAAACAATTGTTACTTGCAATTTTTACTTGCATAGAAAAAAGAAAAAGAAGAAATAAAATCCTGCCTACAAGCTAATTCAATTGATACTTTGTAAAAAGATATAGAATATCAAATCCCAAGGAGGAAGAAGAAGAAGAAGAACACTTAAAAAGTATTTCATAAGGTTTCTTAAAGAAACATTCGATTTCTGACCATCTGCAACCGCAAAAACGAAACTGTAAGGTGCTGCCGTAGGTTTCCGTAACGAAAATACGGAATGTAATGGAGTAAAATACGTTGGTCTTACTTCCAAAGGGGGGATTTATGTGTATATCCTTACGCAAGAAACGTTGAACGAGCACGTGCGGATCGTGAAGGAAAACCGCAACGTGAAATCGAATATACGCGGCTCGTCTGACGACGACAACGACGAGGAGGAAGAAGAGGAAGAGGAGAGATGGAGGAAGAGGAAAATGATCATTGCACTTTGGGGAGAAACGATCCTCGATTGTCGTCTAACCGAGTCAATTTCATTTGCTGTTTACTCAAAACCGACTAGCATTGGGTAAACATGGTGGATCACGGTCGAACATGAAGTGATCGTATTATCTATACACCTGATAGTATTCACGTATATTTGATGATATGCTAACAATTACAACCACCATCATCATTACTACTAATACTACTATTACTACTACTACTATTACTATTACGGTGTCCATTGTACAAACAATTCCAATATAATGATTACACCACTAAAGGAATTAAACTTTAATTTTAAGTATAATAGAGGAAGGACAACGTTCTATTACTTTGATTTACCTGCACATTGCAAAACCCGATCGAACCAAACCAAGTCAAGCCTAAGTTAAGTTGAATCCAGTTAGAACGCATCCTCGGGGGAAATGTCGTCGATTATATTTGCTCGAAGTACCGAACTTACACAGAGAAAGAGAAAGAGAGGAAATGCATTGGTACAAACCACAGTTGGTACTTCTGTTTGCACCGGCACTCTAATTGATTATTTGACGTCTCTGATAATGCGATGGTCGCTTTACCATTCTCTTATTACAGTTTGCTATGCATACTATAGGACGGGACTATCCTGACTTTCCAATTGAACGAGATTGTAAAATAAGCTAGTGTTAAAGAATTTATGTTTCTTTTGTTTTCTACAATTTGAAATATCTTTTATGGAGATTTTTCATAGTTCCTCTCTATCATCAAGCTAAATAAAATATTAATTTTTATATAATTATTACATCTTTCTCTATGTAAAATGAAAAATAGGACTCTGATTTTGTATATAAATTAAAAAATTATATATTAATGTTAATAGCTTATGCAATTGCAATTACTTTTTTGTTTTTAAGAGTTTTTAATTGATCCTATATCCAACGAGATTAAAATTTTAATATTTATATATTTATACGTTATGTTAAATGATCATTCTAAACCATAATGGATAGAAGAGAGTTTGTCGTACATATGTACATTTATACCATATGATCGGTTTTTTCAAATCCTTGTAGTCAAAATACAAAAAAGACGGATATCAAACAGATTTCGAAACCGAAGACTCGACCACCGACCGAGTTTATAAGTACAATTCAATACCACTTAACGTCTATGGACTCTAAAGAGCTAATAAAAGAAGTCATACTGTGCGTCTCACTATCATTGTCAATCTACAAATCGATGGTTCAATCAAAGTCAATTCACATATGAACTATTTCCTTATCCTTTAACAATATTAATTTATACTATTATAATTAATATATTATTATTTCAATTTCTATATATATATATATATATGACATAAAATTAATTTGTATAAATATATATTCTAAAATCTATTCACATATTTTTCTCTAAAATCGGTTAAGTGTGTTTCCACTCTTATCCACAACAGACAATTCAACTGTTGGGATCTCCACGAGTAAATATACCACATACCGAGTGAAAAGAGAATCTGAAGTACCACTCGGTAACGTAGAACGCTAATAAAGAGAACCACGCGGTGCTATTGTCGATCGGCCAAGCCGCAGATGGTCAAATCATTTTCCTACATTCTATTTCTTATACTGGTTTTAAAAACCACTGTCGTTATATTATCGTAATAAAAAAAGACAAAAAAAAAAAAAAGACAAACACAAAAAATGATCCCAAGTGATAATGTTGGATAACATACCTTCACTACATGACTAAATCCAACAAATGGTGCACTATGTACAGAATCTGTTAATCCAACAGCAAAAACCTTTCTTGTAAATTCCTCTACATGCTCCATTGCCTATAAAATATGCAATAACAATAATTGTATTATTAATTTATTAAATTAAACTTTGTTAACGTCAATAATATAATAATAGTATTTAAATAACTTGCAAATTGTACTACGCATTCTCCACCAAAGCTATGCGCTACTATAGCAACGTATTTAGATTTTGATGGACCGATGTAATCATACCATGCTGTTCTCAAATGTTCATGTGGACCTTCGCTACCCTGTTTATAAATTATTTTTCCTTTTTATATATAGCTTATAATAAATATCTTTTTCTAATAATACACATAACTTTGTTTAACATATTTGCTACCAGTTTTATATATCTGTGACACAACAATTTCCATCGAGAACTTAGCATCACACATTTGTGACAATAAAGCGAAATATAAATACTAAGCTTTGGTAGAATGTCAAATGGTAGCGAATGTGTTAAAATCAAACTTTGATAGGAACCTTAATTTTATTTGATTTTCCATTAATTATTCTGCTGTTATCGTTGGTATTTAATACAAATAATCCATAACCTAATTCTTTAGCTTTCTTAACATATGGAATTTGTGTTCCGGTATTAAGGCAATCATTTATAATTAATCGTCTAGCCCATTGACCAGCTCTGACTACTCCACTACCGTGAATCAATACGATAACTTTCTCATTTTCTAATGCATCCTCAGATGCAAATATGAAAGATCTTTTATCTAATATTTCAGAACTTTCTTTTGGTATCGGTAATCTTATTAAACCTTCCTTTTCCAACAAACTATATACATATTCATTTATAACCTGTAATTTAAATATTACATATTTTTAAACGATATATAGTAATTGTTAACATATAGGTAACAGTAGATCAATAAAACTTACTTCACCTAATGCTTCGTAGCGTTTTTGATTGTAAACTGAATCCTCGTTAAACTTAAATTCAAAACCTTCATTAGTTAATTTACCAGTTTCAGCATTTATTTTCCTTAACTGTCCATCTATTATTAATATTAAAATTTTGCAGATCATTTTGAAAATCATTATAGTATCTTACAAATATTTGTCTTTTTTATATATAACATAAAAAATATAACACATATATTAAAATAAATATAGAAAAAATAAAGAAATATATTTAAGGATTTAATACTTGTGTGCACTTACTTGTATTAAAATCGTATCCAAATTCTTTGAGAGATTTTGGGAAATTATGATACTCCATTTTAGTCATACCTAATAACTGAATAAAATTAATACAATAGTATTCGACAAGAATATAATATAGTAATATCAAACTGTTTATAACACATATAATATAGGAGTGACAAACTGTCATTGCTATTATTATGAGATAACCTTACTAATTTTTTAAAAAATAATACAATTGACAATCTATGTTTAATAAAAATGTTAAAGTATAACCTAACATAAATTTTAGATTAAAAAAAAATTAAAAAAATATACTTAACTGCGTTTTTTACGGCCGAACATTGAGGAAAACATTGATTAACATTTATACTTGTTTTTCTAACGACCTTTCGAAGTAACATCGTTAATCAACAATGGCGCCAAATACAATTCGATTATCGAAATTACATCGACAAATATATAATCGATATATTATTGAGAAAATATTTAAATCAAGTTTTTTTATTTGCCGATATTATTAGCGCGAAAAAATTCTCACATTTAATTATAAAATAATGATTATAGTATTTGTATATGTATACGTATATTATTGTCTTATGTATATGTGTATATTATTATAATAAAGCATTTAAAAGCCCATGGGCATATAACATTTTTTATTATATTCTTACTTATAGAATATGCTAGTAAAATTTGCGAACAAAAACTAGGACATGCTGCATATATATGAAATATATCAAATAAATTAAAAAATAATAATCAATGTTGCTTACTTTTATTTAATCAATTAGATTTATATAAAATATACTTAATTATTTTTTCACTTCAATTACAGTAACAACTAGAGTAAAATACATAAAAAACTGAAGTATAGCTCTTATAAATACATATATCTTAAATTAATAATAATCAATAATAATTATGTATACATAAATATATATACTATCATATAACGAAATTTAATAATATATATTTTCGTTCTTTATCAAGAAACTTTAGTCATATTTAAAATATAATAATTAATAATTTTTGATTAACACTTAAAAAGTGTATGTACATGTATATGGTCACATTTATGTACAAACACACAGATGTATATCGTCAATAATATAAAAAGCATATCTTTTTTTTATAAGTCCTAATTTTTTTAGAATTTATCATTAATCAACAATTATTAATTTACTATACCTGCAGAGTTACATAAAATGTATACTTAAAATTTGTTCTATTATCATCATATACTTTTGATTTAAAATTCATCTTCAGTTTTAAAACTACGACTCTTAGTGTAAAAATATATAATTAAAAAAATATATTCTCCTGTTTATTTTTAATTATTTTTTTTTGTTCCTATTGAAAATAGGGTTAAGCTATGATTCCCTTATTTGCAGTGGATCATAACTTTAATAACGCCACTTTCGCACTTTGTTTTTGCAAACGCCGCAACAGTTTCTTCTATTTTGTAATTATGAGTTATAAGCGGTTTAACGTTTATTTTCTTGCTAGCCAATAACTCTAATGCATCGTTGTAACTAAAAATTAATTTAATTAATATTTCATTCATAAATAAGATGACTTTACTAATAAATAAAACTTACGTATTAGCATATCTAAAAACACCTCTAATATCGACTTCTCTTACTAGAGCATTAATAAGCGGAACCTGTACTTCAGGAGGACTACAACCGACCAAAACGATTACGCCACCAGATTTAGTTACCTGAAATAAATAGTTACAGGATATGATTTCGTTTAATAATAGATCACATTTAATAATACTCACTAATATAGCTAAACGTATTGATGATTGAGCACCAGATGCATCAATTGTCTTATCGGGATCATCACCAAATAGTTCACGAATATTTTTAATATTCTCTGCCTCGGATACCTCCTGCTTTATTAAATATGTATCATCAGCTCCAAGTTTCTTCGCTGTATCTAATTTATCTTGTTTTATATCTACAAATAATATTTATATTAGCAAATAATACTTATAATAAATTAAAATCAAAATTAAGTTATATGTAAATATGAAATTTGTATAAAAATTCATTGTGGTTAATTAACATACCAGTAAGAATAACTTTACTAGCACCCATAGCTTTAGCAACTAATAACGTTACCAAGCCAATTGGTCCAGCACCTAAAATTAAAACCTTCGAACCAATACTAATACCAGCACGTTTGCATGCGTGGATACCAACCGATAAAGGCTCCATAAGAGCTCCTTCTTCTAACGTTACATGGTCAGGCAATCTGAAAAGTATAATAAATTCAAATATACAATTAAAATATTTCACAAATTATTCTATCATACAAATTATTAAAAAATGAAGATAAAAAAATAAACTTAACCTAAGATAAGAACATTTATAACATTTCACCAGTTACAATAATATAAAATAACATTTACGATATTTAGTTAATTCATATTCAAAACGTTTCTTCAAGATCTTGCACTTTCAACATTTATTTACATTTGTTTTAAATTAATGATAATTTGTTTATAACCTTAAGTGTATCTTATTTTTTTATTTTTAAATAGTTATTAAAAAAGAAAGAATTTTTTGTCAACTATATATACATATATCTGACATTAATTAATAAACAAATAATTATAATGATATTTGATTTATTTAATACAATTAGATTAAATGTTTCATAACCTACACAATTATTCTCAACAGATGGCGCTTCGATGATACTTGAAAATAAATGATACGTCGTATCTTTAAAACGTATTACCAATGAATAAAGTTGTATCGTTTAAACGACTCCTGATTGGTCGGCGCGAGATAAGACACAAATTCAAATATTAAGCATACGGCTAACCGTCGTTTTTCATGTACGAAGAAAGCGTAACAAAATTATTTGCATGTTTATCGTTTTAAGGTTTCATATACAATATATGAGTTGGTAATTAAAGTGCAATTATTTAATACGCTTTACAATTTTATTAGCAAATGAAATATATATTTGCACGGCAATTAAAAAAGGGATTAATATAATTGAAAGTAATTTTGATAAGTGTGTTATTACAACGAGAGGCTGTTGTAGTAGAGGACGAGGTTTGCTTTTATTTTGTTATTTTTTTTCCTTTTTTAGTTATAACTCTTTTTTATTTTTTTAATTGACAATGTATTATAAAACATCAAAGAACGTAAAGTCATAGTTTGACTTGACGTAGAAAAAATCGTTGTTGGATTAGTAAGAATTTTTTGCTTTTGAATTTTTATTAGTTTACTCTTTTTTTGCTTTTTTTGACTTTTGTGTGCAGTGTATTTTAAATATTTTAATAATGAAATATGATAAAGTAGGAATAATTGAGTTTTACGATTTTGTTAATATTGTTTTTTTAATGTTTTATTGAATTGTTTTTTTTTTTTTATTTATTTATTGAAGAGCATGTCTTTTTGTGATAAATCAAATAAAAAAGAATTTTAACTTTAGAAAAACTCACGAAAAAAGATGTAATTATTTTTCATTGATATATAAAGAAAATTTAAATATATTTTTCTTTTAACATTTACAACAGATGGAATCTCGTTTGCCAAAGCCGCAATACTTTAACAAATTTACTTCACTGAACGTGGATATGAAAAAAAACGACCAAAACATGACTAAAACTCAAACAGGCTTAACACGCATAGTGAGTGGTACAAGTACGATACAATATAATAAACATACAAGAGACGACACGAAGAAGGATAAAAATGTATTAATTAATGATGGAAAATCTAATAACGAGAATAAACCTTTGGGACAAACTATGACACGTGCTAAAACTTCTGCTGCTTTAATAAGAAGCAACGAAGCGATAAAAGCTATGAAAAGGCCAGCAGCAATTGTAACAACCGCTAACACGAAGAAGCCCAAAGTTAAAGTTACCACTAAACTTGGTAATTCAAGAAGATCAATTAAAGGTACATTGAAAATAAGGACCGGTAATGTTAGACCGACTGAAAATAATACTAACAATAAGACTACTGCTACTGCTACGGCTACTACTTCTGGTACTACCACTGTCGTTAATAAATGGGACTATAAGGGTCGCTTTGCAATTGCAAATAGTGAATTGATTAAACTGCGTGGAAATTTCAAAGAAATATCCAGCAAAAATACAGAATTTCAAAAATTAATAGACGATTTGAAGGATAACGAAAATACGTACAAATCACAAGTAAAGGAGTATGAAACTTTGAAGACAACTTTAACCAAAGAACTTGAAACAACCAAGGAAGAATTTAAACAAGTACAAAACGAAAAAGAAGATTTTGTAAAACGTTGGAATAAGGCAGAAGAGGCGTATAAGAATGTAATAGAAGAGTTAAAAAATGTCCAAGATAAATGTAATGAACAGAAAGATAAATTAGAAGAACAGGCAATTGAAATTAAAGAAATTAAGACTAAACTGGAACAAGATGAAAATCTTATCAAAGATCTGACTCTTCACAAAGAAAAATTACAATCGTTTGTACATCAGATGGATAAAGAACGTAGAATCCTTCATAATACTATACAAGAAATGAAGGGTAATATTAGAGTATTTTGTCGTGTACGTCCACGAACCGAAAAAGAATTGTCTAAACCGTGAGTCATTTTATTATATTCATGGAATCTTTAAAGTTGTTTGTGGTGATTTTGGTAATAATTATTATATTTATTATTTTCTCCACAGATTATGTTTTATCAAATTCAACGATGAATGTACTATAGAAGTAGGAAAATCAGATACATCTAATTGTAGTGGAAAAGTAAGAAATGTACGCCAAGAATTTTCCTTTGACAAAGTGTTTTCGCATAATGCATCGCAAGCTGATATTTTTGAAGAATTGTCTCTTCTAGTTCAATCAGCTCTCGAAGGATATAATGTTTGTGTATTTGCATATGGCCAAACTGGTTCTGGTAAAACATATACAATGGAAGGGGAGCCCGGATGTGATACAGAAGGCATGATTCCCAGAACGGTAAAGACAAATCTTTAGAGAAAAATATATTTAAATTTAAATATAATAATCAATTTCTATATTAAAATGATCTTAATACTTTGTAGGTCCGACACATATTTAAAGAGATGAAAGAATTAGAACTTCTTGGATGGGAATACAAAATAGAAGCTAGTTTCTTAGAGATTTATAATGAACATATAGTTGACCTTCTTGACTCGCAATGTAATAAAATTCATGAAATACGTATGAGAGATAATAGAGGTCATGATCTTTATGTGAGCAACTTGAAAGTTGAAGAGATACATAATGCTGAAGAATTACAAGAATGTTTATTGGCTGCTCAGCGTAATAGAGCTGTTGCAGCTACCATGTCAAATGAACGGTATAATTAATTATTAATTCTCTCTTTAAAAAAAAAAAAAAAAAAAAACAAATATTAAATAAAAAATTTGATTTGATTTTTTAGATCGTCCAGATCTCATTCGGTAGCACGTATAAGACTAATTGGCGAACATAAACTTAAAGATGAAATTTGTATAGGAAATCTTAATTTAGTTGATTTAGCAGGTTCTGAACGATTAAAGGGCGAAGAAGCAGCTAGAACCGCAGAAACGAAGAATATTAATAAATCATTAGCGAATCTTGGTAACGTTATACTTGCGCTTTTAAAGAAGCAAGAACATGTGCCATATAGAAATTCTAAATTAACGCATTTATTGATGCCATCCTTAGGAGGTAATTCAAAAACTCTTATGTTGCTCAATATATCTCCTTTAGATGAATGTTACAATGAAACATTAAATTCCTTGAGATTTGCCAGTAATGTAAATAGTTGTAAAATGAATGTTAAAAGAGTTAGAACCGCGTTATCGAATACATCTAATTTATCGTTATCCAGTTCAAGTTCAGAAATTTGATAAAAATTCGTAATATTTTATTCGTACAAAATATTTTAACATAAGACATGAATATTCGATTTTGAGAAACCGTTAACCTGTAATGTTTTAAATATATATATATTATTGCATTAAATGTGTATATCCATGCGTTTGATTTTTTTTTTATTTAATTTTATCTTTTTCTTTTTTTTAACGCGAGATTAAGAATATCTCAATATAAGAAGAAATATATTTAGTTGGCATGAACCAAAAAATACGCATTATAAATTAAATAAGTTTCTCTTTATATTGAATAATATTAGATATTGTATTTCTCTTAAAATAATTTAATAAAAAAAAGAAAAATCTCGTTACTACCTCGTACAATTTATTTTAGTTATATTTATGTAATTGAATTAATTACATATATACACACGCGTTTGTTAATTAATAATATATTTATAAAAATAAAAGAAAAAAAACTTACTTGAAACAAAAGTCAGCCGCGTGTTTGTAAAATCGTCTCAAACTACCGTGTACAGGAGGAGTAGCCAAAAATACAACGTCTTTACATAAATTGTAACGGCCGTTTTTACAAAACGTACATTCTCTACAAGGCACACCAGGTTCTATAGCAACACGATCGCCGACCTATAAAAAAAAAAAAACAAATAAAATAATAATATATTTCATTAAATTTCATTAGATTAAATAACAATAAAAAAATTTATCAAATAATTGACCTTTAAATTCTTCACATTTTTTCCTAGTTTAGCAACAATTCCGGACGATTCGTGACCAATAATCATTGGTTTAGTTAAAATAAAATCACCTATTCTACCCTTGTCAAGGTAGTGAACGTCTGACCCACAAATTCCAACACAACTCATTTCTATTAATACCTCTGCAAAAAAAACAAATATAATATATTAAATTTTACGCGTTGTGCAATAAGAATGCATTTAAATGCAATTAGAAATGAAATTATATTTCATTTTTACCAACCATTTGTTCCTGGTTCCTCGATGGGCGTTTGTTCCTGGAATAAAAATAAAAATTAAAGAAAATTATTATTACCTAACATAAAACTATAATAAGTTTCTATGAAAATATATATTGTTTTCCTTTGCATTCATATACACATTATAAAATTACATAAGACATAAATATAGTTACGTGTATATTTCTGTTACATTGTCATGCGTTTGAATAAGTGTCAATTAAACTTAATTTTTTTTTTATTTACTACGCATATATGTTTCCATCCTGATAACAATTATTTAAATATTCGCATAGATTATAACACGAAGCTTTGAATATGATAATCATTTTATTTTACAATGAAAGTTATCTAACGTGTAAGATAGTAAAAGCCTAGTGCAACTAGAGTTGCAACTTGGCGAAAGAGTATATGCATTCTAAAATCAATAATATGCCTGACTGCTACAGCATTTAGTGCATTGTTCAGAGTTCAAGGATGATTAATGCAATAGATTCACTACTTCCTAACAACTCGTCACTGAATGTCTTTAGTGCATTTATGCAAGTGAATGAGTGTTGATTTAACTTATCGTTAGAAATTATTTGTATTATTGATATTATTATTATTATTATTAATATTATTAAGATAAATAATTCATCGAGTTTTAATATTTATGTAAAAAGTTACCATAAAAAAAGAAACTAAAATTCGATACTATTTATCGCGTAATATTCCACAATATATAATCTTGATAAGATAAACATTTTTTTAATCGTGAAAACATTGAAATCTGAATGTGTGAATGTGATAATAATATAATAATAGAAAAAAAAAATATATATATCTTTTCTTTTTTATGTTATTCTTATCAGAGATTACTTTAATAAATATTTAAATAAATATTTTCAACAAGAGTGGAAAAATTAAAAGTTGTTTAGACGTCATAAAAATAATCGATTGTATCGGAGGAGTCAGGGATAAATCTTTCAAATATTTGCTCTCTATCGTTCGGTTATCATTCGGTTATCGTATATTGTTTAAGAAAACATAATTATTGAAGAATAATAATTCCTTACTAACCACATAAATAAGTAAATACATAAATCAATAAATCAATATTAATATTTTAACATATTCAGTACGAATTAATTTAAATTTTAATTAATTTAATAATAATTAAATAAAATATTAAATATTAAATATTAAAATTACAAAAAGAAGCGTGTGTAGAGAGAGAGAGACTCTTGTGTTTAAAACAAAAAAGAAATGTCAAACCTTCATTACGAAGGAGATGACATAAAAAAGATAGATCAATAAAACTTCTCGCCAAAGAGATATTCTCGTGTAATTAATTTAATAATAAATTAATCAATTATTATATATTTTATATGCGAGAGAGAGAGAGAGAGAAAAAAAATTAGTGCAAATAAATTCGCGTAAAAAATGTGAATGAAAAAAAAAAAAAAAGAGAAAAGAATATTTAAAAGAAATTATTAGTAAATAAAATTGATGTTAAATATATTTTGTATGTGTATGGTAAGTGTCTGTCTCTGTGTGTGTTTAACATACCAATCGAATGTCATTGATGCCGTAAAGTATAGCAGTGAGATTATCCTTGGCCATGTTAGCAGTTTGGTTTGATTGAATTAAAATTTTCTTTCAAAATTATGAACGAATTCTGTTTTAATAAAAGGCACCTCCTCCTTAATGCTTCTTCGAGCAACGGCTGACGGAATGAGTCTTTGGATGAGATAACATCGCTCTTTATATATCAGTTCTAAACCAGACTTAAATATCACCATACTCTCTACTACTGTGCGTTTGATTATCTTCCGCGTCTATGTGAAAACTTACGTTTTCTTTCTGTTAATATTCTTCACTGATCCGTTTCCGAAATTTCTTTTTTTTTTTTTCTATATATGCTTGGAACGCGCGCACATACCCTTATGTTGCTATATTTACTTGACATTTTACAGAGTATCCATAAGGATACCAAATTTTACTTCTCTTATCATATGAAATCATCATTTAATTAATATTTCAAGGAACGAATTTATATATCTCAAAAATATATCTAACATTTAAATAATTTTCTTTTTTCTATTTTATAATAATAATATAATTATTCACAAAAATAAATCTCACAACAGGATAAAGAAATCAAATATAATTTTGTATTGATAATTAAATTTAAATTGAGGAAAGATATTTTTTAATTTGTTTCTATTCGAAGAATATAATTACTTTTACTGATAAAAATTGTAATATTGTAAATAATAATAATAATAATAAATAAACAAAACGATCGGTATAGCATTTGAATTTCCCTCGGTTGATAATTTTAAATCTGCCGATATCTTATCGACGAATGTAAATAACCAAGAGACGAAATCTACCTTATCGACAAAAATAAATAAAAGATGATAAATTTTGTCTTATCAAAAAATACATTAGATAATAGTATTTTTTAATTCATTGAGAAATGATAGTTCATACGAAAAAATATTTCTTCCATTTTTTTTTTTCTTATCAAATGACGAACTTTTATATGCACAATTATAAATAAAAATAAAATATTAATAATCAAGCGCACATATCATTGCAACGCCTCGTTTAATCCAATGAGCTTGTGGATTTTGACTAGGTATTTCCATAGCTAGAATAAAATTAGTCGAATGTCCCGTGGTGCTTAAAGTACCAGCACGTGCTATCGTTTTATATACGGGACAAATATAAATTTTATCTTCGAATATTTGATGATTTAATTCTGGTAATAAAAGGATAGGGGACATCTCTGTAAAAAAAAAAAAAAAAAAACATTTAAGTATACACGAGATTAATTAAAATTAATATATACCAATTATATAATACCGGTGTATAATTCCTTGGGATGTGATTCTTCTAAATAATTTCCACCCCATCGACAACCCTCAAGAAATAACCCATATACTACACAACCATCTTCCGGTTTATGCGCTGGCTTTGAATCCAATACCTTTTATATATAAAATATAAACAAAATATATATCAATAATATATGTAGATATCAAATTATTCAATGTATTGTTAAATGTTTGATTATATACTTGTCATATAATAAATAATTTTAATATAATTAATTATACCCGAAAGCTAAAATCAATCGTGTCAATAGAAATCACGTATTTTCTTGCATAATTTTGCAGAGTGGCTGTTAGAAAAGCTTGAGGAAAATAAAATCCCGAAATCCAAAATGCAGGTGGTATACCATTGTCGTACCATTTTGTAATAAATTTAATGCGTTCTTTCAAATCGATAAACCAAGAACCTAAATACAAATGTGAGAAACGCGTATTGGTAAATAATGATTTATAAAATTTAATAAGAAATTAATTATTATATAGTTATACCAAGTGGTTTCAACGAGGGATAGCCTTTTTCTTGCCAAATCATTGGTATTTTATTATTAGAAATATTTGTAGCCATTGTTTCCAAACGTTCGGACATTACGACTAATCCTTTCAATGCTTTCAATAAATCATCTAACGATAATTTAATAACTTTTAATAACGCATTGTATCGTTTAGCTTCCTGTACCAATACCGTGTTAAATGATTCTTCGTATAAAACAGGATACCTGATATTAGAATATTTTTTCTTTTGTAATCATAAATAACAAATTAAATAAATATTTGACAATTGAGAAAGTTCGTGCAATAATCTAACTCGAATTTATTTATCATTTAATTTTGAGTTAATTACTTTCTTGATTATTTCATATTAATTTCAAATATAATATTATATATTACAGTGTATCAAAAAAATGTGTGCAATATTAATCAAATGAAATAAGACAGAAACAGTACTAACTTTCTTTTGCTTACCTAATATATATATAATTATTATTTATCTTATTGCAACACGATACCTTATCTGTATAGCAATTAAATCGAAAGATTCTGGTAACGTAATTAACATTTCTTGGGCTTGATGTATCGTAATATCCTCAACGCTTACAATTGCACTACTAAGCTCTCTTGGCTGTAAATTGAGTATCGTTTCCAGACACATGTAAGTTTCTGCTTGTGCAAAACTTATATCTGCGTTAGGATGCATTCCGAAAAGTGAAGGATCGTCATTAAGTGGAAGTGTTTTGATGTATTTTATGTAATCGTTAAATGTACTGGTTGCTGGTAACTGTATAAATTCAAAAAAAAAAAACAAATAATTATTTTTCAACGTACATACAAATTTTGTTATTCCACTTAATGTACCAATTTTTCGTACATTCGTTCAACATTATTTTATCATAACAAAAAAGATTAATAAAATATGTATAAACATACTTGATAATATATTCCTTCATCGTCAAAACGAAAGTCACTTGAGACTACATTAACGTTATAATAATCTTTTAGTATCGTTAAAACACATCTCCGATCCCAGTCGTCAGTTATTCGTCCACCATAATTAATGTGTCCAGCGGTATAGATAAGAACCTAAATATTTTATTAAATATCAAACAAATGTGTATATTTGTTTTTGATTAAAATCATTTTTATTTATATCGTGTATAAGGTATTTCAACTTTAAATTATTGTTATTGGTGATAGAATAAAATATATCGAAAAAAAAGAACTTGCTTATGGTTTTGACAATAATAATTTAATTCGAAAATTATTCATGTATCTTAAATATTTACAATTTCATACCTTAAATGGTAAAACTGTATATTCCATAAGAAACATATGCAATTGTGACAAACAAATAGCTAAATCTCCGCTTGTAAATTCATACGGTATGTTAAAACCCAAAGAACCAAATTTTCTTCTTTCCAATAAAATTGAATGAAACAAACATAATGAAAAGACAAGATGTTTAAATGGTTCTACTTTTGGATCATCTGATTCAAAAAAATTCTTCATTTCTGCGACCTGCGTTAAGTATGCTCGAAACATGTTAGCCTAAAAAAATACAAATGCTTTTTCTTTGTTTTAAATTAATTTACCGATACAATATTATATTCCCTTTTATAATAATGTTTTGAATTATTTGTATCAATTGTTACACCTTTACACCTCTCGGCGGTTCGATCGTCATTTTATGACCATTCTGTAAAATGCTAACGGGAAAATCTGGCGACGGTGCTGATGTCAACCATAAACGAAAATCATTATGAGTTTCTTGCGTCAAAGTTTCAACCAATGTTTCCAAATGTGGCATCCAACTTGGTGCCAAATGACAATTCTAAAAACATACGAAATTAATTGTTATGTTTAATTTATTCCATCGAACAAAAAGAAAAAAAAAAAA